CTTCCACTGAGCACACATCACCAGTGGCGATGAATTTCCTGAAAACAATTTTAATATCGATGGACATTTACTGTTCTGACGAAAAGCACAACAATAACTTCAACGAGTTCACGATACCTTGTCAGTTGGTTGAGTAGTTTTTGATTGATCGTATCGAAATGTAACGATTTCACGGCTCGATAATTCGCGAAAAGATGTGTGGCCGTAAATATCGTATAGAATATCCACACCAAAAGTGTATGTCCACTGACTAAAGGCAAAAAGATTAGACTACAAACGAGAGCAGTAACGTTGACGAGTGTCTCTTGCGATCCATCTTTCGCCGAAACGTCAGCGACATTATTTGCGCGAGCCTGCAAAGAGAGCCAATTTTCATGATCAACAGCACAAATCCAATATTTTGTAAGATAAATTTCCAGTGAGAACGATAATTTGTTTGTTTTCTAGTTCTGTCGTTGTTTATCTATTTATTTAATCAGCAAATCGAACTCATTAAGAGTTTATGCCTCTCTGTTATCACCAGTATCACTAATATTACATTCTTCCTTCCGTGGCATTCTTCTTATCGCGCAGCTAACGATAATAGCGTTTGGAATCATCTGTCTTCATGAAATTCGAACTTGGATTATTGATCTGGCAAGTACTGAGGTTTTGGGCTACTCTCCCATATTGCCTGCCCGTTCATCATAGTTAACCACTTCAAAAACCGTAAATTCATATATGTAGGTATAATGAACTTCTGAAGGTAAAGGCATTGTCTAGGATTAACTCAGCGAACGCAACCTCAGAGTTGAAGTCTCACCTGATGTTGCACGACAGTTGTTCGTGTAGCACCTCCGGCCACGGCCACAATTGATCTGGCCAGAGACGAGAAGCAAACCAATAGAGTGAACAGATTCGGAAAGATCGCTGCCAGAAGCTCAATCGAGAATGCCAAATCGTTCAGCATATCCGCCACTAAACGCCATCGTTTGCAGTCAGCATCCAGCTGAGCACTCTGTGACCATGCGAATAAAATCCTTGAGATCATACCTAAGCCATCGCGAAGTAACCATGTTATCGTTGCGGCTAACGCTGATGCATTCTAAAAACAAAAATCATTCACGTTTTGGCATCGCTCAATCTTACAATTACACAATAATGCTAAAGGTGATTACTCAATATTCAAAATGTCTAAGGATAAGTATTCGAGAGTTGTACATATGGTTTCCTTCAGAAGTACTGTTAACTATGTGGGAACAATGATTTTGGAGATTGAAGAAAGTACTGATTATATGGTACTACTGGTAACTTAGAACATAATGATTGGCATTTTTATGCTCATAATGACCACTGATTGCTGACTGAATGAATCAAAATATCGTTGGTGTTAGTATTAATAACCGTATTAAAAAGTACCATGCTCAGTAGTAATTCTATCGTTGTTAACAAAGCAAATGCTATGCATTACTTCTGTTTTGGCCATATTTGCTGTTGGAACTACTACAACTGTTATGACTCTTATCTTTACTGACATACTAAGTTTTTCCTAAACTTATTAGGTCTGCAGATTTATTACTTAATAAATTAATACCTGAATACTTACTTACTTACTTACTATTAGATTACTTAATACCTGAATCCAGGTAA